GACACTCCGAGCCCTCATCACCCAAGGCCAAGAGGGACGACAAGTCTCCATCCGGTCACTCGCACAAGCCACTGGAATGCTCTCCTCTATGCGTCTTGGGTTAGGAACCACGACAAGTGCCGTCAGCCACGAGCTCCTTCAACTCATTGCCGATGCCACCTCTTGGCACGCCAGGTCACAGCTGTCTCCGGCAGTGGTGGAGGAACTGCAGTTTTGGCTGGCATAGCTCAACCATTTTAATGGCACCCCATTCCACCTCAATCACCAGTATGACGCCGTCATCCACGTCGATGGAAGCGCACACAGTTGGGGCGCCACCCTGACACAATTACCCAGGATACCCCTTGAAGCTAGCGCCCGCATGCGCGAGGAACTCCTGCCCACCTCCAGCATGCATCACCAGCTTGAAGGTGTCTTACGGGCACTTCGAACATTTACCCTCCACGTCCTCAAGCACCACGTCCTCGTTCGCGTGGATAATCAAGGGGTGGTATTCATTCTGTGCAAAGGGGGATCACGCAAGTCGATGTCCACGCTGCTATGTCAAGCAATCATTCGTCTCTGCCTCGAGCAACAGACACGGTTGGCCGTCGAATGGATTCCAAGAGAGCTGAACGTGCACGCTGACGAGCTCTCAAAGATCCAAGACCATGATGACTACTCCCTCCAAGCCCCTTGGTTCGGCTCCTGGATCGCCGGCTGGGTCCACATTCCATCGGTCTTTTTGCAAATGTGCACAACGCTCAGCTACAGAGGTTTTGCTCCAAGATTCCCCACCCGGTGGCCATAGCGTTTGAACGTGAATCGTGGAGCAAAACCTCTGTATGCTTGTGCTCACAAGCGTGGCTAATCGGTCTAACACTACAAGTACGTGAATTTGCCAAACGCCATGGCCCACGTCCCACCCAGAACAAGGAACCCATATCGCTTCACCAAGTGCAAGCCATGGCCCGCCCCTTCCTCGAGTCTACCAGGCCGGCCAAGTACCAGAAAGGACTCATACGGATACTCATGTTCACTTCATTCCTGCGCTACTCTAACCCAGTCAACCTCCAATGGAACGACACACAATTCGAGCCTGAAACAATGTCATTGCTAATTCGTCACTCCAAGACTGACCAGGAAAGTCGGGGCAGATGGATCTCGGTCGCCGCCACCGCCATACCCTACTGCCCTGTGCATTGCACGCGACATTTTCTACTCCTCGCAGGTCACACCGCCAACCCATGTGGACCATTGATCCGAGTCTTTGGAAACAACAAGAATGCAACTCCACAAGACAGCGCTTCTTCCTACACCACCGTCCGGAACTGGTGTCCCGAAGCCTTTACTAGGGCTGGCCTCGACTGCACCCACCTCAGTACACACTCCTTCTGCAAAGGCACAGCGACCGCAGTAGCCAGCTTGGGGATCTTTGACTGGCTGTTCAAGCGACTTGGCCGCTGGCGCAGCGACAACGCCAAGGAGCTCTATGTCACTATCGCACAAGACCAACTCCTTCAGGCCTCTACAAAACTCCAAGACACAACCACCGCCCCCGCGCTCAATCAGCACCAGCTATCTATCGAACGGCACCGCCGACCCATCCTGCACATGTCTCAGAAGACCCATATGAAAGGAAGCACGCTGCCTTGACAAGAGGACCCAAGCAAGCTTTCACAATATGTAATTTCTTGAAAGCATGTAACGCTTTCTAAAATATGTGTATTGTGAAAGTGTAGCGAGGGCCAACGCAGCAAAGGCAGCGTTGAAGCGCTACTCGCATTCTTTTGCGTACAAACAAGGGACGTGTGGCCATTTGGCCTCACCCACATTCTTCATTTCTAGTTCCTCTAGATCTATTTTCCCGCCCACCCACCCGAAAATGCGTGTACGATCATTGTTGGACGAGGATCATGTTTGTATCCCATATGAAATGAAGCACACTGCCTTTACAAGAGGACCCAAGCGAGCTTACACAATCTGAGCCACATAAAAACAGCAGGGAGCATGGATATAGCTAGCCTAGGAGCACACCATCGTGGCTCGGCACAATCTAAATGGTGTGGAGCGCCCAGATCCAGGCATGCAACAGCAAGGCGGGCAACAATGTATGCGGTGCGTCAGGAGACCACATTTGGGACCGCGATTTGAATTTCGTGGCAGAGCTGCACGACAACCCCGTTATAGCCGTGTACGCCTTACTGACTAGAACCCATGATAAGGAAATACCATTTCCTTACATCCTCCCCCCTCCAAGGTATGGTCTTAGCTAAGACCGCCGACGTCATGCACATAGCGAGACTGGAGGTAGACTCGTAACACCGGGTAGTTCTCGATCTGTGTCAGGGGCACCCAACTGTTTTCCAGGGTCCTCTGGTCCTTCCAAGCAGGGCCTCAGATAGGATTTTAGGCATCCTGACCAATCAGGGTGGCCCCCCAAGAACATGTGTTGTAGCCATGGTTGGTCGCATATGCTCATACTGATTCCTCAGGGTGGTTCCCCAGTTCTATACTGTGGCCTCAGGGTAATTTCTGAAACGTTGGAAATCTTGTAAGTCACTTTAAACAGCAGCAGTACACTAACAAGGAGTCCGTGCTTGATGTGTTGCGTTGGATTGAGGACATTCAGCCGCGAGTGGCTGAGTTGCGTCAACTGCAGCGCACAAGACGAATCAGACATGGGATTTTCTTATACGGCTGACTGTCAAAGGCCTGTGGCCCACGAAAAGAAACAGTAAGTTGCGTAAGGTTGGATGTTGAATTAGGGTGCGTTTCTGGCTGCTAGTCGAGCTTCTAGTCTAGTCAAGTGGCCAAGTTTCACAGCGGTTGAGAACTTTGCGCGCTTGACTAGAGTGCGCCCCACTTGATTAAGATCTTGACCGTGAGGCGAGAAACACACCTTCACGTGACAGGATTTTGATTCGACGTAACCTGAGCATCAAGAATTCGATGAGGAGTAAGCCGGAATTCTAGGTTGCAGAGGGGTTGTAGAGGAGTGTCTCTGGCAGTGAGGAGGGGAAGATTCTTTCTAGCATTGAGGACTTAGCCAAAATTTCATATTTGTGGGGGAGTTATGGAGGAGTGTCTCCAGCATTCAAGAAATCAGGGTTCTACATGAAGGCATACTGATGCCTCAAGGCTGGTACATGAACGCTTTACTGAATCTTCAGGGTTGCACTATGATTCAAGGCTGAATTCCCAGGGTGAAAAATTGCCTTGAACGGATTTCTTCAGGATTGACACCTAAGTGGCATCCTGAAAATCAGGAATTCATGATAAAACATCATGATATAAGAGGCCCTGCTTCCAATATATCAGAAACTCGATCAGGCGAGCCCCTTGGGGATCACTTGATCCGATGGCTGAGAACCTTCGCAGGTTCGACCGCAGGCTCGGCGAGCGGTTAGATGTTCAGGTTCGCTCGGTGACGTGGTAGTTTACTGGTACTAGTGATGTAGGGTCGAAGTAATCGCACGTGGAATGATGGGCTGACGTTTCAAGTGGCTGGTAACAGTAGATGGGCTATACTGTAACGGAAGATATCATGTGGCTGATGGTAAATGGTCCATAGTTGCAGGGGCGGTGTTTTGGGACGATGGACAGTCGGAGGTTCTGGGTGTCGAGCAGTACTAAGTCTCCAGCCTGGTACGTTACTGCCTATCGGTGTAGATCGGCGTTGTGCTTAGAGATTAGATTCGCGTGCTTAATAGCTTCGGCTGCTTGCTCCCGGGCATTTTGTAATATTTCGGTGAATTGTTGGGCTCGTGGTACTGGATTTCCGATGTTGGGCGTGATTAGTACAGTAGTGTTCTGCGCGTAAGTTAGGTAGAAGGGTGACTATTGTGTAGTGGCTGACGGGGCGTTGTTATACGCGAACTCAATCCGTGGCAGTTGCTGCTCCCAGTCGGCCACGTTATCGCAAGTGGCGCAAATCAGCTGCTCCATTGTCTGATTGGCCCGTTTAGTTTGTCCGTCAGTCTCGGGATGGTAGGCGGAGGAGAACTACAGGCGCGTGCCAAACTGGTCCCACAAGTTGCACCTGAAGTTACTGGTGAATTTCGTGTCTTTCTCGGAAATGATGGCTGATGGAATTCCGTGGAGGCGAACGACGGTTGAGATGAAGAGGCGGGCTATTTTTTCGGCTGAGATGCTTTTCTTGCAGGTGGCCAAACGAGTCATCTTTGTCAGCTTATCGACGACGACAAATATCGCGTCATTGCAGGGACGGCAGTCTCGTGACGAAATCCATCGTCATCTGCTGCCACGCGCACTCAGGCAGAGGAATTGGCTGCAACTGCCCCGCTGGCTTCTGCTTCGATGATTTCATGGTTTGGCAGGTTCTGCAAGACCCCACATGCCGCTGCACATCCCCTTGCATGGCGGGCCAGAAATAATATCTGGTCAACTGCTGCCTGGTCTTCTCCACTCCGAAGTGCCCTGAAACGGTATTATCGTGAGCATCTTGTAAAAGTAATTCCCGTAGTCGTATTGCACGCTACGATGGTCTGTCTGTACAATCACATCTGCGGCTGTCATGTAGCACCGCCACACCTTGAAGGCGTGCATGATCGCGAGCATTTCCTTCTCGTGTATTGGATAATTTTGCTCAAGCGGGTGCAACTTCCGTAACTCGTACACGATTGGCTGTAGGCCTTCGCCAAAATCCTGTAGCAGTACTGCTCCGATGGCGATGTCGCTAACATCTGTGATTACTTCGAATGGACGGTGAGGATCGGCAATGCGCAGGACAGGGGCTGAGCACATAATAAATCTGAGTGCGGAGAAGGCAGCTTGCGCCTTCTCTCCCCACCTATACTCAGTCCCTTTCCGCAGCAGGTCAGTTAATGGTGCAGTTACCCCCGCCATGTTTGGGATAAACCGCCGAACGTAGTTGACGAACCCTAAAAGGCTTTGCAGCTCCTGCAGGCTCTTACGCGGTAGCCAGGCTTGCACTGTCTCGATCTTGCGCGGGTCCACTTCTACACCCTCTGTGGTAATCATGTGTCCCAGGATTTCGAGGCGGTCTTTTAAAAGTTTGCACGTAGATGCTTTCGTGAGAAGCCTATGCTCCTGCAGTAGTGTGAAAACTACTTCGAGGTCCTTTAAGTGCTGCTCCCGGGTCTAGATGTAGATGAGGATATCGTCTAGGTAAAGTATTTAACGCACTTATCTACCAATGAATTGAAGATCTGGTTCATGGTCATTTGAAAAGTCGCCGGGGCGTTCGTCAAACCGAAGGGCATAACTACGTACTTGAAACTCCCATACCTAGTACAAAATGTTGTCTTGTGACAGTCAGCTGCGACTACTCAAATCTGATGGTAAACCCCTCTTAAATCTATTTTGGAGAAGAACCGAGCTTTGCAAACTTGATAGTCACCCTGTTCAGTGCTCTGTAGTTAGTGCACATTCGGTACCCACCGTCTTTCTTCAGGGTGAACAGTATGGGGGCGGCAAATGGCCAGGAGCTCGGTCGGATGATTTTTTTCTCCAGTGAGTAATCTAACTGTTTCCGTAATTCCTCTAACTTTGGCTGTGTTAATCGAAATTGCCGCTGCACTGTGGGCTATGTCCCAGGTTCTAATTTGATTCGATGGTCGAAGGGCTGTTCCGGTGGTAATCCCTCGGGTAGGTCGTCTGGAAATATCTGTGGGAATCTGCTAATCAGCTGCGCTAAATCGGCCGGCACTGCTACTGTCAGCTTCTCTAAATCGGACGGCTACGATGCCATGTCGACTGCGCGAACGACTACAACGAAGACTTCCGCTCCCCGTGCGACAGCTCATTTGATCGCCACGGAGTTCACCTGCGTCAATCCCCCCATGATCCCCTTCGTCCATTCTGGTAACATCACACTGCGGCCGTTGATTTTGACGGAACATCTGCCGGTTATCCAGTCAATTTTGGGGTTGAATCGTCGCAGCCAATCCCGTCCCAGCAACATATCGAAGCCGTCGAGTGTAGTTGCCAGCATCCCCATTGAAAAATCGAAGTCAGCTCTGCAGCGTTCCCTGATCTGTCCACCCGATCTTTTATTGCTAATGGGGTCCCATCGACTAGTCGGGCGTCAATCTCCAGTAGACACCTATCTAAGGGTAACTTCATTTTTTTGGCTGTGGCGAGGTTGATCAGCTTGTGGCTGGCACCCCCGTCCACGAAGATTTTATTATTTTCCCCTTGAACCCTACCCTCTAAATGAATAGGGTAATCTGCCGCTGCACCCTCCTTATTCAGCCGAGTTTGGTCGATTGCATGGATCGGTGCCAGTACTCGATGAGGGTCATCGGTCACGGGCGAGCAGGTTCCATCAGTAGTAGGCCTGTTAACTACCGATACTAGGCGTTTCCTTGGTCGCTGGAACTCCCCTTCCCCTGATTCTGCTTCTTCCGCTCCTTTGGGCATTCCGACTTGCGGTGACCCAGTCTGTTACACCCGAAACAGCGACCCTTGAAGGCTGTAACTGCTGCGTTCGAGGTTGTAACAACATGTAGATGGCCTGCTCGATTGGTCCCCGAGTGCGACTTCCGTCAAAGGAACCCGCCCTTGGCTTGAAGAACGAATCCAACCGCTCCGCAACCCTCTGAGCCTCCACCAAATCTGTAATATCCTTGATATGGATTTCTATGCGCAGATCCGGTCCCCTGATGTATCTGTCAAACTTTTCGTCAGGGTGAATGTAGCCTACCTGGTCCCATAAATTCTTGAAGTTGCTGGTGTAGTCCTGGACCGATCCGAGTTGGCGCCACATGCGAAGGTGGTCGCGCGCTAGGCTGCTTGCATTGACGTATTCGAAGCGGCGACGGATTCTCAAGCACCACGATTGCCATGTGCTGTACTCGTCCACCTTGCAATAGATTCCTGCCCAATGATTGGTCGTGCGAAAACGCCCGATCACACGTGGCGTCGTATTTGGTTCCTGCGACTGAATCATCTACTGCCACCAATCCATAGCCGGTCCACGTAGGAGCGACACGGCGTATCGGATTTTTTGTGCATCGTCGCTGACGAGGTTGCAGTCGTAAAAAACATCCAGGTGAAAGATCCACCTGCTGACATTCGTCCTCGCTGCAATCACATCCAGTAGAGTCACAAACGTCGAGAAGCCGCTCTGTGAGAGCAAAGAGCGCAACGGAGCAGATGCTTGAGTCGTTGGCAGCAGTAGGGACGAGCACCCACCCTTCATCCATGCACACCCCTGCACTGCCTGCTGCCAACTCCCACTGGATGCCGCCAACGCTGCTGTTGAAATTGCTGTTGAAATTACTGCTAATGCTGCCCCTACTACCGCTACCGCCGCCGCTGCTGTTGCTGCTGCTAGTGTTGAAACTGGTGCTACTGCCACCACTGGTGCTGCTGTTTCTAGGAGCACTTCTGCTGCTCCCATTCGTCCCTCCACACTCCCCGGCTGCCGCCACTCCCATCTCTGCTTCTGTCACATTCCGCTGCATTCCCCACACCACTGCAAAGGACGTGACGTTAACGGGGGCTGTCCCAGGCATCTCCCACACGTGCACCAGGTATTGAGTTGGATGCCTCATCTGCAAAGAGAATCGTGAGGTTGTGTACCACCTTCTCAGCCTTGAGCACTGATATCAGGTGCAAGCTGGAGTTCTGTAAGGGGGGAATGGGAGGGAGAGTGGCCAAGGATGTGACATTAGTGACAATCAGGGGCATACTGTGCTGCCTTGTGGGGCGCCTTGTCGCCAACTAGAAGCATGACATTGTATTCAGTGTCAGTCAGGATGACCTCCTAAGCCTCGATCGCCAAGATTAGGAGAGTACAGGTTCTCTGCGGGAGGGGAGGGGGGCACAGGCAAAGAGGAAAGGTGAGATGGTGAAGGGAGAGCGGAGGAAGGGAGAGCTAACGGCATGAGGGTCTATTCTGTGACCCTCGGGATGATCTTCTAAGCCTCGAGCACAAAGAGATTAGCCACAGGCTGGTGGCATGTGGGAGAGGTTATGCAGGCAAGGGGAAAGGTGAAGGTGCGAGGACTCTACTCAATCTTGCTCAAGGTGACCTTCGAGTAAACCTAGAAAGGTGTCGTGCAACGTTGTAATGAGGTGAATTTTGAGTCTGACTAAAAAGGCGCAAGGTTTCTACTATGTGTCGCTTGGGATGACCTTCTGTGCATCGACCACCTGTCCCTCATGCCGCCCCTCATGTCGCCCTTCATGCCGCTCGCTATGCCTCCTCTCCCCTCGGGTCAACATAGGTCAGCAGCTCGCTACACGGCACTGGAGTCAGGGAGCAACAGGAGTTGCCTCACTTGACTCACCTTACTCCTTACTCCATCGCACACTTTCTAGCCTTACTCCTTTGCACACTTTCTCACCTTACTCCATTGCACACTTACTCACCACCTCTTTCGAGTCAGCAGCTCGCCACACGGCAGCGGCTCCAGCAGCAGGAGCAGCACAAGCCAATTCACGCACCTTCCTTTGGTTCCTGACTCCACCACCCCTCACGCCACTCGCTGCACGTCCGCCCCTCTGGGGTCAATGTAGATCAGCATCTCCTCACACACCAGCGGCACCTCCAGCACCACTCGCCTCAGAGCCGCCCCCACCTTGTCCCTTGTGCTCGCATGCTGCGACCCAGCTTGCTTGGAGAAGGGCGCTAGGCTGTACCCTCCTGTTGAGCCTGCTGCTATGTGACATCTGCTTCATCTGAGATGCTTGAACATCTGCTCTTTTCGCGCCAAATCTGGTCATAGTTTGAAATGAGCTGGTTGGGGAGTCTGAACAACTCAACAGCCAGCCGCCCGAAACACACCTTCTGTCAGACTTTCAGATGGCTGTGCGGTGATGTGTGTCAGAAAACCACGGACCCTTAAATATAGGTCTGCGCACGAGTTGTGTAAATCGTGTACGTAGCTACCAGATTCCTAAACATTGCCATCCGTTACGCATTTATAGAGTTTTGGGTTTCTTTCCCCCTTACACTTTAGAGCAGGAAAATACTTAGCGCTCAAGCGCCACCACCGGGTCCCGCGACGCCACGTTGTGCAAAGCTGATCCCCTGATCCACCATGGTTTCGTATTTCAAATGCTCACCACAGACTTGGTGGCAGCATGAACATGGGGTCAGAGGAACACGCCGCAACTCTGATGTGACGCGCGCGAGAACTAGGCTGGCTTGAGCCTCGACAGAAACAGAGAAAATAAATTAATAGTCCATTCTCCTAGGAAACCTATCCTGCTCTCACAACTGCCATGGCAGCAATGTTTCACCTGAACTGCAAGGCAGATAGCGCCCCCGCCCTCAACCATCTCTCACCCCACGCTACCAAATTCATCATCATCTCACCTCCCCTACTGTTCAAGAAGACACCAGCCTCTGCTCCTTCAAGCCTTTCAGCCTCACATTGGCTCTTCTGTGCTGCAGCTGATACTTCTTTCATTGAGTGACTTGCCACCATAGCGCCAAGAGTGGAGGTGCTTGTAATGAAAGGTGGATGAATAATGGAGCAGCCGTGCATGCGTACGATTCCGAAGGAAAAGCCACATTGGAGCATTGCAATCGGCATTCTTACCAGAAAGGAGGTATTGATGGGGACGGAAGGGATAGCAGCAGTAGCAGGCAGCAAGAAGTAAGACCTCCTGCTATCAATGCTCCAAGTCTGCAAGGTATATTTCTTCCAACTCGCCACTGCTATTCTGGAGAAACTCTTGCATTTATGCACAGGAAGTATCCCTCCCTGAGTGAGTACTGCATTGTGGATTGCGTGTATGTCAGGGTGAGGGAGGGGGGGCAGCTGAGGGGCGAGCCGCTTGAGTGTGTGCCGCGAGATGAGGAGGCATTGCACAATCGTTTTGGCGTGAAGGGCTACACGAGTGTGAGGGATGAAATGAGCTCACTGAACCAGCGGATGATGAAGGGAAACATGATTGACAAGGACAAGAGCTCCTTTCTGCCTTTTCACCTTGTTGGGCTGAGGATAGCCCTAGGATCTTTGCGGAAACCAAGTCCTTGAAAACAGAGTGCTTGATAGCACAAGGGAAGTCTGAGTTGAACCCTTGTAATAGTATGTGAGAACAAGTGATTGATTATAGCAAAGGGATACAAGGACTTGTGCAATAATATGAGGGGAATATAAAAAGTTTATCTAACTGTGCACTTCGAGGGGTACATTCCCTTTGCGACTCGATAAGCACAACTCTGGTAACCACCCGTACTGTAATACCAGGACATTTACGTGTCCTTGCGATCGTGTTCACTTAGACTCTTGTTCTTCCATATTCCCACCTTCAGGTCGCTTAGGGTACGTAGCGAGTTGACTAGCAGCGTAGAAGAGATCGAGTCGGCAGGAGACGGCAGTGAACAGTAGACAACTGAACTTTTGCTGGTAGTCCTGGATGCCTGATGATGCGAGGGGGGGTTGGTCGTCGTGGGTGCCAGGTTCGTGTAAAGATACGCTGTCGCGAGGGGTAGTGGAGACAGGTTGAATCGGGGGGCAAATTTTTCGGCATATTTGGATGCCGATAGGTGGATGGTGTCGGAGCCGTCGGTGATGTTGAGTCCAAGGTACTGTGTGACAATAGAGGAGGCGGTGGGGGTGAGCTTGAGCTGCAGCTCCCCTTCGAACCAAGCGAGAATAGAGGTGGTCGAGCCGATGTAGAGGAGATTGTTGACATAGACTATCAGGAGCACGTAGTCGCTACTTCGAGAGAGACGGTGCATCCCCTAGTCATGTGGCAGTTAAGCAAATTCCATGTCAGTGAGGATTCCATGGAGGTACTGCTCCATAGCTGCGGGGCTTGCTTGATCTTGTGAAGGGATTTAATGAGCTAGCAGACAAGGGTCGGGTCGTCGACGTATGCGTGGGGCTGCTCGACGAAGGTGTCAGCATCAACTGGGGCATAAAGGAAAGTTGTGGCGACATCGATCTGGCGCAGGCGGACCTTGCGAGCGGCGGTGGCGGCGAGCAAAATGTGCAGGGGCGTGTTGCGCTCGTGAAATGTTTTTAGCCCCCTGTTCGTTGCCTCCAGCCCTTTTTTCCTGTGTGGCGCTTCCAGACTATAGTGGGCTCCGGAATTCGTGGTGGTGGAGTCACTGGGTGAACTGCTGCAACCAGTCCCAGCATCTGGAGTCCACTTTCCATGTAGCGCCCGTCTCTGGATCAGGTCTGAAATTGGGGCCGATACACTCCGAAATGTTGGAGTCGATGGGTTGTGGGGTTACATAACCATTATCGACGAAATGTTAATACACCTCGGCATTCGCGCTTTTGTCCATATGCATGTCGACGGAGCTGTAAGGTAGTGGTCAAGCTATCGCAAAGGTGTCCAGAATGTTCTGCTCGCCCAGGTCAGGTTCTTCTCCTGCCGAGGCAAACGCGCGTGCACCAGCGAAACCACTAGATGGATTCTGATTGGTTGCGATGTTGTCGAGGTAGTGGTTGAGTGTCAGGTTCTCGTAGAAGATCGCATCATATGCTGCTACTATTTCCTTGTCTTCCATGCTGAAGATTTTACAGGCGTTGTAGTGTTTCTAATACCGAGGTGTAGACCACATCGTGTCCCTCGTGAAAATCTGCCAGCACATGCAGTGTGCAGTCGGTACTGTACCATGCTGCCCTGCTTCCCTGTCCACAGCAGATGCGGTGATTTGTTGTTTGGCAGGGAGCTAGACGAAGAAAGGTTCTGCAACATTACTGCGTGATCCATCGCCTCCGGCCATTAGTATTTGGGCAGTCGCTTGCCACGCAGCAGCTTCCGCATGGTGTTCAGGAGCGTCCTGTTCATCCGTTCTGCTACACCGCTCTGTGGATGAGCAAAGGGGATGTTATGAGTCTCTCGATTCCCCTCTCCGCTAGGTAGTCCTTGAAGCGTTATGATTGGTATTCCATCGCCCGCCAGTTTGGAAGCTTTTCAGTTTGGCGTCTCTCTCTCTCTCTCTCTCTCTCTCTCTCTCTCTCTCTCTCTCTCTCTCTCTCTCTCTCTCTCTCTCTCTCTCTCTCTCTCTCTCTCTCTCTCTCTCTCTCTCTCTCTCTCTCTCTCTCTCGCTCTCTGCTACAGCAAGCCACGTGACGAACGTGGAGAACGCGAGATCTCGCGACGGTAGGTTGAGATGCCAAGTGTACCGAGTTGCCGCGTCGTTGAAGGTTATGACGAAGTTCAGGTCTGGTCTGCCGACTTCGCAAGGAATATACAATATGTCCATGTATACCTTTTCGAGTGGAGTATAAGTAGGTGCGCTGGGATTGTGATGTGACGAGGAAAACGAGGCAGATTAACTTCTGGGCGGATGAAGCAGGTACATCGTGGTCGGCGTAATTCCCATCCACCGAGTAGTAGCAGTGCGTCTTTGTCGAGTACGCATGTTCGTATCGTGTCAAAGAGTCTTGAATTGTCTGGATGTCCCAGCCTTGATTCCATGTTTCTTCCCTTGCCTTGTGCCCGACAGATCTCTGGTAGAGGTCAGAGTTGGCGTAGAAGGCGGAGAGTGTCACTGCGCTCCAATGGTCTTCACGGGTGTGGGCCTTCAGCTGCTATGCGTCTGTCGGTGGTGGTTCTTCGACTGGTGCCTCTTCAGCTGGTGGCGCGGACAAAGTGCCAATGATGGGGTGTTCTAATGTTTCTCGTATCGGCGCCCTTGGTTCTTTGGTTGCCCTTGGTGCTTCTGCTTCTCTTGTTACTTCTGCCTCTCTCATCACGGCTAATGCCCTTGTGGTTTTCGCTTCAGGTATCGTATTGGATTACCATAATCCAAGTGGTGAAGGAGATGACGCCAAATCTGTCAGCAATGGTGCGATCAGGGATGAAATCGAAGATGAAGACACCAGATTTCAGGACCGCCTTACCGATTTATAGTCCTCCTTTCTTGTGGTAAAGCCAAAAATCGCGATCGTCGCTGTCGCACTCCAGGTAAATGCCTTTTGACATCAACTGGCTAACACTCAGTAAGTTATAGCCGAGGTTGTTGACGACTAATACACATAACATTTGCAGTATGACACTTGTCTCAAGTGACTGCAAATGAACGACACATTGTCTTCTTGTGCACAAATTCTGGTTGTTGGCGATCGTAATTACGACTTCGCGACTCAAGGTCCTCTCGATGGACGAAGCATGCCGAGGAGCACATGTGTTGCCCGCAATAACTGCCCAATAACCAAGTGTCTCTGCTGGATGGTTCTTCGCTGGCGATGGCTGCGTACGTCAAGTTTGGTTGAATACAGGTGAGATCTGGTGCGGGAGGCCATTCGTCAAGGTCGCGGTTATGAGGTGAGTCGGGTACACAGAATTCTGTTCGCTCCATACAACTGACGACGTTTCATGTTCCTTGCGTAGGCCGTGGCGTTGGTGTTGGTGGACGTTGCACGTGGTTGCTGGACGATTGAGTCAGCCGAGGGTGATATTGCAGCTGATGTTGTAATTGACGCTACTGCTGCTTGGGACAGTTGAAGTGCGAGTGTCCCGACATTCGGCAGAGATGACAGTATGGAGATGCGTGTCGTTTATTATTGTGTTGACGTCCGTGCATGTAAAACGCGATGTGCTGACTCGGTTTCTTTGCATGTCGTTCTTTGTACACGTCCATGCCCTGCTGCTCGACGTGGAGTTCCGCACAAAGATGCCTTTCTGAGAACCTCCTATGGGCCCATAGGAGGGAGCGCGTTGTACGCTACTGAGGACAACCATTATAAACGAATCTTCCGATAATTTGTCGCCACTCCATGGAATCTGTCGCATAGTTCTCTGCATCGATTCATATACGTCATTGCCTTTTCTCTTGGTTGCATTTGGATTGTTGTCAGCTGTGCCATGGGCCGACTCTGAGTCACACTGTCTGATGCTTGATAGTCAATCTTTAGGTGGCAGTAGGCGAGTTCGGCTGAATTGCCATAGTTTTTGCATATCCGAGAACTCTGTTGTTCTGTCGGTGTCAGATTTTGCAGAAGGATGGTAAAGGCCATTAACGACTGATATGTGTATATCTTCTTTCTTCGATAGCCCCGTTTGCAGGAAAGGGTCAGGAGCCAGTGAAGAAGCTGAGGATTTGCACACCGTCCATCCAACTCGTATTCAAAACTCAAGGTATAGAAATCTTTTCCATTGAATGGGAAAGATGTCTGCAACTTTAAGATGTTGAACTCGTGTTGCATGTTGATGATGTCTGACTATTTTTCGCATGGCTCCGAATCTACCGATGGTGCTGGAGTCGGCAGGAAGGTAAACGAGTCGTGCGAGGGCTGGTAAGGCTGGTGTTGCATAGGCTGTCGATTGCCTCTTCCGCACGATGAGCCATCGAGGCTCATTGGCGCTACGCCACTGTTGGCGCCACTAACGTTGTTGCTGTTTGACGATTGAGCAGGTGCTGAAGGTTGCTCGTAGTGCGAAATGAAGGAGACAAACTTCTTCACGAGACCTGGGTCAATGCCCGAGGAGGAAGCCACTGGGTGTGTGGTTGCTCCTGCATATGCGCCTTGAGTTGCGCCTTGAACTGCGCCTCTAGTCTTTAGTTCAGAGACTGGGGATGCAGATGCCTTGTTGCTTGGAGATCCAATAGAGGATCCCCCACCTTTTGATAGTGCCATGTTGTTAATCTTGATAATAAGTTGGAATTGCTTTGAGTATCGTCCAAGTTAGAAACTCAACTGAGGGATTTTGTAATGGGAACATATTCTCTGACTAGCTCTCATACCATGTTGGGCTGAGAATAGCCCTAGGATCTTTGCAGAAAATATGTCCTTGTACATAGAGTGCTTGATAGCACAACGGAAGTCTAAGTTCAACGCTTATACTAGTATGTGAGAACAAGTAAATGATTATAGCAAAGGGATACAAGGATTGATATAAAAATGCAAGGAAATATGAAAGTTTTTCTAACTATGCACTTCGAGTGGAACATTCTCTTCGCGACTCGATAAGCACGACTCGGGTAACCACCCATACTGTAGTACATGAATATTTTTTTAGTAACAAAAAAATTATAGATTGTGATTCGATTTGAAGAGGAGTTTGATGTAAAGGAGACAAGCTCCTTCATATTCTTGCAGGTCCGATGGACCAGCCACCTAGTCTCATTCGCATTTCTCTTCTCTGATTGCTCCCACCCCCCTCTCCGACTTTCCTAGTCAGCACCTGCCTGCTTAGCTTTGTCCTTTAGAACATACATGTACTTCTAACTATGAGTGCTGTATCATGGAGATGTGAAATGCTACAACGGCTGCATTGCACACTCCTCTGAAAGTCTTGTCACAATGGGGACAGTTATGTGTCATTGCTGTCGCCCTGACTTCGATTCTTGCACTTCTGACTATTGCGTTGCAGGTGTCAAGAAGCACCTGGTCTCCCACCGTGATGGTGTGATCGTTGCGATGGCGATCGGCTTGGCGCTTCTGTTGCTGTTGAATATCGAGTAGGCGCTTGTGGGTCCGATCCCAAAGCTGGTGCATGGTTGTAATGAAATCATGTGCGGGTTGGACTGTAGCTGATGCTGTCGGTTTTTGTGGTGTGAGTGGGTGGCGTCCGTAGCAGAGGAAGAACGGCGTCTGTCCAGTAGCAGCATGTGTAGCATTGTTGTAAGCAAACTCGAGTACGGGCAGGTGCAAGTCCCATTTGGAGATGTCGTCCTTGCAGGCTGCTCGGAGGAGTTGCTCAACAATTTGGTTGAGGCGCTCGGTCTGTCCGTCTGTCTGCGGATGGTATGCGGATGACATGGCGAGTTTGGTCCCGAGAAGAGACATAAGTTCCTTCCAGAACTTGCTAGTGAACTTGGGGTCTCGGTCGGAGATGAGTGTAGTTGGGATGCCATGCTGTGAGATGATGTGACGAACGAAGAGCTGTGCTGTCTCCTCGGTGCGTGCCGTCGTATGTGTCGGGATGAAGTGTCCCATTTTGGAGAACTTGTCAATGACGACAAGGATGGCGTCATGACCGCTGGAGGTAGGTGGTAACCCGGTGATGAAATCTAGGCTAACCACTTGCCATGGTTGTTCTGGGACAGGAAGAGGCTGCAGTAGTCCCGCCTTTTTCTGCTTGCTGCTCTTCATCCGCTGACATGTATCACACGAGGTGACGAATTTCTGGACGTCGTCTGCCATATGGGGCCAGTAGTAGTGTTTGGCGATACCGGTGAGCGTCTTGTTGCTACCGAAGTGGCCCGCGTACAGGACGTCGTGGTATTCTTCGAGTAGTAACTGGCGCAAAGGAGGGTAATTGGGTACCCAGATTTTTGTGGATCCCTTCCGGTATGCGATGTCATTGTCCCACTGTAGCAGATGTCGCTTTTCTGCCAAGGGAATTTCGGGGTCGATGGCGTACCCGTGGGTGAAGAGTCCCTTGAGTAGTGGATTCATCCCTTCGATCTGAATCGCGGCAACGTGTGCAGGCCGGCTGAGAGCGTCTGCTTTGTTCTTGTGGCCGGGCTTGTACACGATGTCGTAGTGGAAGTGTGTCTCGAGGAAGTCGATCCACCGGACCTGCCGCCTGGAAAGGTTGGGTTGTGTCTTCAAATATTTCAGGCTGCAGTGGTCGGTGTAGACGGTCTTTCTTCGTCCTTCGAGATAGCATCTCCACGCTTTGAAGGCGATGACGATAGCAAGAGCCTCTTTGTCGTGTATCGGGTAGTTGAGTTCTGCCCCGTGCAGTTTCTTGCTGAGGTAGGCAATTGGTTGCAGTCCATTCCCCTGGTCTTGCATCAAGACTGCTCCCACGGCCTGATCACTGGCGTCTGCTTCAATGACGTAGTCACGTTCGGGATCTGGCAAGATGAGTACCGGTGCGGATGTCAGTGCTTGTTTCAGTTGCTCCACGGCTTCCTGGTGCTTCGTCTCCCATTTGTAGGACGTGTTCTTCTTCAGCAGATTCGTGAGTGGTGCTGCGAGTTTTGCATACTGTGGCACGAACCTGTTGTAGTAATTAGCGAAGCCTAGGAACTGCTGCAACTCCTTCACGTTCTCGGGTGTCTTCCACGTACGTACGGCTTCGATTTTCTTGGGGTCGACGTGAACTCCTTGAGCGCTCACCAGGTGTCCTAGGAATTGGACCTTTTCAAGGGCGAATTCGCTCTTGGACAGTTTGACGTAGAATCGTTCCCGTCGAAGAATTTCGAAGACGCGTCGCAGGTGTTCGACGTGCTGCTTCATGTCGCGCGAGTAGATGAGTATGTCATCCAGGTACACCACCACGCATTCGTCCAGAAGTGGTCGTAGAATGTGGTTCATTTCGGCTTGGAACGTTGCCGGCGCGTTGGTGAGTCCGAACGGCATGACCAAATACTCGTACGATCCGTACCGAGTTCGGAAAGCAGTTTTGTGGATAGAGTTGTCCGCCATCTGTATCTGCCAGTATCCGGACCGCAGATCCAGTTTGGAAAATACCGTAGCTCCCCGAAGCTGGTCAAGCAGGTCATCGATTCGCGGTATCGGATATTTATTCTTGATGGTCTGCTTGTTAAGAGCTCGGTAGTCGATGCACATGCGCAGGCTTCCGTCCGGTTTCGGTGTGAAGAGTACTGGGGCACCGTACGGCGAAGTGGATGGTCGGATGAGTCCTTTAGCTAGGAGATACTCGATCTGCTTCTTCATGTCGGTCAGCTCTGTAGGGCTGAGTCGATATGGTGCTCGGAAGGTCGGCTTCGAACCCGGTTCCTCCACGATCTCGTGTTGATGCGTTCGGTATGGCTTTGCTCGTTCGGAAGATCGTCAGGAAGAATGTCTTGGAACTCCTTCAGTAATTCCTTGATTTTTTCTGGAGTTTCCGAGGCTTTCTCTCCGTCATTCTCCACCTCTGTTGCTATCGCCAGGAACCCGGTGTCGGTCCGCTTCACGTCCTTCTCGAATCGTGCGAGTGTCTCCACTGGGATATCTCCAGTGTCGTCCCAGTTGGGTAGCTGTACTCTCCGTCCATTGTTGTAGATGCTTGCGGTGCGGTTCACCCTGTTGATCTCGGGGTTGAATCTTTTCAGGAAGTCTCGCCCGAAGATCAAGTCAAGCCCTTTGATGTTGGTGATGGGGAGTGCAGGTCTCCAGCGCAGTGGTCCAATTTGTAGATGTAGCACTGCTTCGCCGTGTACTGGTAACTTGCTGCCGTCCACCATCGTTGCAGAGAATCCTGAAGGCTTGTACTCTTCCCGGAGTCGGTCGATCATTGCCTTGTCGCAGACGGTGTGTGACGCTCCGCTGTCCACGAGTGCTTGGAGGCGTCGTCCTTTGCAGATGACCTCGAGCACGAGGGGCAGTCGTTGCTCGGAGTACCCAAAGATAGTTTCATTGATTGGGTCATAGGGTACATCCCAATATTCCGTACACACCTTGGTGTTGCTGTCTACTCCTGAGCTGGCAGCTGGCCGAGGCTGCTTGGAGAACGGCTCTTCTCCAGGGCCCGGAGTTTCCTTGACGACTGTGCGCGTCACTGATGCCGAAGAACTGGATGCATCCGTAGAAGGAGTTCGGGGTTTGTGCAGCTTCTTGTAGACCCCCAGCTTCCTCTTGAGCTGCTTCAGCTCCACCGACGTCTTCCCTGGGGAGCGGGTAGTCGTTGTGGGCTGGTGTCGAGAGAGGACGTTGACTCCGTGGAAAGGTCGGCTTCTTTCCACACTCCTTAATTTGGTCCCCAAGTTGTCCGGTACCGGTATAATCTCCACAGCTGTCTGCTTCTTTTGGAGTCCCTCCCGAATTTTCTCCAAGGCTCTAGCCCCTCGAACATCATAAGTTTTCATTAAAGCATCTTTATAAGATAACTTTAACGAATTCTTATAATTTCTTGGGTCTTCAAGGAGTTTCCCTGTCTCGGCAGAGTCTTTTTTCGCGGAGTCGTATTTTTCCTCGGCGATTTTCCCTGGCGAAGACTGGTCGTGGGGTGGAGATTTTCCCCCATCATTTCCTCCTTCTCGCGTCGAATCAGCTTCGTCGAAGTTGATTTTTCCGGAATCCCGCGGCCGCTTTCGGATCTTTTTATTTTCGCCAGCTAGATCCGCAATCACTGGCGACTCCCGTTTTTTGTCTTCTGATTGGCCGAAAGATTTCCGCCACTGTTGCGTGCCCGATACTCTGCGCGTGCGGCCTTCATTTTGTTGCAGTCGAAGATTCGGTGGCCCGGCACCCCGCAAAAATCACACGTGTAGTTGGTGTTTTTCGGACGTGGCCGCCCCTCGAATCTGTCGACTTCCATCGGGTCGGCGAACGTGGTGTGAGCCGAGCGGTCGCCCTGTCGCGTACTGCCGACGTGCATCCGTCGTGTTCCGGCGTTGACCATGTCGAAGCGCTCCGCGGCCGAAACGACGTCACTGTAGCTCGCGTAGTTTGACGCAGCGACTTGTCGTTTGACTTCGGTCTTCAGCCCGGCGAGGTATGATTGTATTTTTTCCCCTTCGGTCAGGTCGGGAATGCGGTTATAAAATTCCTCCATCTGCTGCGTGTACTGCGCTACACTCCCGAACTGTCGGTGCCGATGAATTTTTTCCCGGGCAAGGAAACTCGAATTTATCGGTTCGAAGAGTTTCAGCAGGTCGGTGCGGAACTGCTGCCACGTGGCTTCACCGTGGATGAAGGTGCTGTTGCCGCCAATCCACTCGAGTGCCGGCCCTCGCATCAGTGTCGCCGCGAGTCGTACACATTGACCGTCCCAGACTGGCGAGCTCCATCCGACGGCTGCGAAGTAGATCTCCATCCCGGCGATCCATCTGCGGGCGTCGGAGTTTCGATCGCTCGGATCGAACGGCTCAGGTGGGCGCGGTTTCGGAGCCTCGAGAAACTGCTGCGACTGCTGCGTCGTCGCCGTTGTCGTCTCGTGCTGCGCTCCGGCGAGTCGAGTTACTCGCTCGAACTGGTTTCGCCACGCTTCGCGATCTGCTCGCATTTCCTCCTGAAGGGCTGCGATGCGCGCGAAGAGCTGCTGGGTAACCTCGGCGTTGTCGAAGGTTGCCATCCTGTTCAAAACACGCACGGAGGGGGTAATTCGAAAATCGCGGAGCTGGTGCTTACCAGAATCGGCGTCGAATTGGTCGCCCCCGGCAGTTTTTCGAGGCAGGATCCCCGCTGCTGCTGCTTAGCTGAGCGCGGCCGAGTGAGAAAAGCTCTGATTACCAAGTGTCACAGGATCGAATGTGTCGAGGAAAGGTTGCACTATCGATCAGTACAAGGCGCTTTTATACTTCCAGAGTACATCAGGTAACCAGGTTTATCTTATCCTAAGGGAATAGACCCTTCTAGAAGATAGAATCACCCTGCGTATAGCCACGCGAGGCTATTGGCTTTAAGGGATTACAGCAGGATTACGCTAGATAGAGCGCACCAATACATCCCAAGCCTGGTCGGTGATATAATGATAATAGCAGGATAAACCAAAGGTTAATGGAAAAGGAAGAATAGGAAACCAAATGAGATGCGGTAAAAAGAGAAATGAAAAGGGAAGGAAATAAGAAAAGGCCAAGTGGTGTAACGGGGTCGTACTCTCACAACCGGGCTATGTTCGAAGTGTCAACTTATACATATATATGTTTTTATAGGCTAGATAAGTGCATGCTCTTAGAGGATAGAGCACACAAGATTTATGACACCCACTATGCCCTTGTCTAATTCAAATCTGCTATTCTCAGATGGTATCACTCTAGGTTAGGTCTCCCGCCTGTGCTACTGCCCTTTTCCCTCCCCCGACCGCCCGCCAGCGCCTACCCTGGTGCCACCTCCTCCGCCTATCTATGGCCCTGTGTTTCCTGCGCAAAACTCGTCCCCGACTCGTGGTCCCTCTCGTTCTCCTTCTGTGTCTCCTCCTGTGTCTCCTCCTGTGTCTCCTCCTTTGTCTCCTGACCCGACGTCTCCCTCCCACTTCTGGTCTCACCGTCCCTCTCGTGCTCGTCCTGTCTCTCCGGTTCAGCATTCTCACCCTATGTTGCTCCATTTTCACGCGTCTCCTACTCCTCTCCTCCCATCACCTCCTCAGTCGTCGCTTGTTGTCTCTCCACCTCCTTTCCCTGAATTCCTTGGTATTGCTTGCCCTCTTGTACCTCGTGTCCTCGCCTCTCTTGCTACCAACCCGTCGGTTCCTTTCTCCAGTCTTGACGCTCTTGTCGTTGCCGTCGCTAACTTTGCCTCTACCTGCCGCCTTGACTATGCCACTGCTTTGGTCTCCGACTCTGCCCGTCCTCCATCCATGGGAGACCAGGTTCTACTCGACACCCGTAATATCAACATCATTCATCTCCCATCCAAACTGCGACCTCGCTTCTGCAAGCTCTTTATCGTTGAAGCACAGGTCACTCCTGTTACCTTCCGCTTACGCCTGCCAACTACCTCGAAGATTCACAACACCTTCCATGTCCAACTTCTGAAGCCCTATCAAGACCCTAACACAGTCTTCACCGGATGCCAACCCCCACCGCCGCCGCCCGTCCTCGTCCACGATGAACCCGAGTACGAGGTCGAGTCCGTGCTCGCACACTGCCGTCGTCGGAATGGCACCGTGGAGCTTCTCATTCATTGGAAGGGTTATGATCCTTCTGAAGATAGTTGGGTTCCTGACTCCGATATGGGTAACGCTCGTCGTCCTCTTCGCGAATACCTTGTCGAGCAGGGTGTTACTTCTACCACCCAACTTTGAGGGGGGGAAGTGTGAAAGTACGACCCCGTTACACTTCTTTCTCATTTCTATCTTTTTCCTCTACCTCATTCTTCTAAGTATCCTAATTCATTTTATCTTTATCTCATCCCATTTGGTTTCCTATTCCTCCTTTTTCATTATCCTTTGGTTTATCCTATTATTATAATTATATCACCGACCAGGCTTGGGATGTACTGGCGCACTATATCTAGCGTAATCCTGCCGTAATCCCTTAAAGCCAATAGCCTCGCGTGGCTATACGCAGGGTGATTCTATTTCTAGAAGGGTCTATTCCCTTTGGATAGGATAAACCTGGTTACCTGATGTACTTTGGAAGTATAAAAGCGCCTTGTATCAATCGATAGTGCAACTTTTCCTCGACACATTCGATCCTGTGACACTTATGTACCTGATGACTTGCACTCGTCCAGATCTTGCATACCCTCTTAGTATCATGGCTCCCTTTGTGGCGGCACGCATACACCGACCCCTGCACTGGTCAGCCGCTAAGAGGGTGTGAGTTATTTAGCAAGTACACCGGGCATGGGGCTAGTGCTGGGAGGACGCAGGCCAGTGGTTCTCACAGGGCACACAGACGCTTCGTGGGCGGAGGACGCTGAGACGCTTAGGTCCTCCCAGGGCTACTGCTTTAGCCTTGGAGTAGGTGCTATCTCGTGGAGGTCCACCCGCTCGTTGTCTGTTGCACAGTCTAGCTTTGAGGCTGAGATCTTCGCTGGTGCCATGGTGGCAAAGAAGCTCCGTTGGCTGACGTTCTTACTTACAGACTTAGGTGAGCGGCCTAGTTCTGCCCCGTTCCTGTGCGCTGACAACAGGGCCATGCGTTAGAATAGCGAGAAAAGATTGAGTGAGGAAGGGTTTAGAGAAAGGAGAGCACAAGGTTCAAGTAAGGGGATGTCCCCTCTACAGTCTGCACCTAGCTGGTCTATAGTACATATACAAAATATATGTACACTAAAACCATGATCCTCCAGTGTCGGGAGCCTCGAATAGAGGACAGAGAGAAGCACATCCAGCTGCAGTACTTCCTCCTGCGCGAGCTACAGCAGCGCCGCCAGGCACGCGTAGTACACTTGGCCTTCGGTGCCAACACAGCTGATACCGTTACGAACGCGCTTCCGCATAAAGATCATCAGTGTCACTGTCTACAGCTTGGTCTAGTTCCTGTAGCTCCTCACTTGCTAGGACCCTGATTGTGTACTACTATCTTGACTGGACTTGTGGCTCTTGTTCCAGTGGCTGGATTAGTAGTGCCTGTCAGAACGAAGCCACTAACCATTGAGTAAAAAAGGCTTGTTAATAGAGGGTCAGTGCGCCCATAGCCCCCCAGCCTCTGCACCTGTGGCCCTTCCCCGAGGATCTTCTCAAGGGTAACCCCAGCGGGTCACTCGATACCCCCCCTCGCTGGGATAGGTGGAAGACACGAGCGCCTCTGCAGCGCTAGCACCGGGAATTTAACCTGAGTCACCAACGCTCTGATAGCATGTCAGAACTCAGCCACTAACCACTGAGTTAAAAGGGCTTTTTAATAGTGGGTTAGTGTGCCCATAGCCCCTCAGACCTAGCTACAGTGGTAAAGCGAGGACGCTCAGACAGGGGGAGGGCGTGACTAATGGCAAGCTGCGCTACGGCATCGCGCGACTCCCAGACAACACGAGCGAGCGCATCAGCAGAAAAGGCCTCACACTCAGCAGTGGTGGGGGCATCAGGGAGGGCAGCAGGCGCGGGGGGACGGGGAAGCAAACCATCGACATGAACAACCAGGAGGTAACTGTCCTAGCGCTGACCTGTCAGGTGACGGCGAAGGTCGACAAGCCACGCATCAAAGTCGATCGCCCGCCCCTCCGCGTCCAGGCGGAGCACAGCGTCGGCCATTGCATGGCCTCAGCTACACGGCGGCACGGTGACACGGCGACACGGCAGCATGGCTCCACGGCTCCATGGCAGGACGGCGGCATGGCGCATGGCGACACGGCGGCACGGGGACACGGCGGCACGGCGCACGGCGACACCGCGGCACTGCAGCACAGCAGCACGGCGGTACGGCTCCACGGCAGGCCGACGCCACGGTGGCACGGTGACACGGCAGCACTGCGGCACGTCGACACTGCGGCACGGCGGCGCCGCGGGATGCTGGGGCCGGCAGGAACGGGGGCCGGCTGCGGTAGGGGCGGCAAGCAAGCGGAGGCCGGCGAGCTAGGGCCTACGAGCGAGAGTCAGCGAGGTGGGGCCGGCGAGCTAGGGCCGGCGGGCTAGGGCTAGCGTGGCGCACCGGGCTAGCGGGGCGCGAATGGGGCCAGCGGGGCGTAAGGGACCAGCGGGGCGCACAGAGCGAACGTAGCTTTACGGGGCCAGCGCGGCGCGAACGGGGCCAGCATGGCGCACGGGGCTAGCGGGGTTCGATGGGGCCAGAGGTACGCGAACGGGGCCAGCGGGGCGTACGGGACCAACGGGGAGCACAGGGCTAGCGGGGCTTGACGGGGCCACCGGGGCGCGAACGGGGCCAGCGGGGCGTACGGGGCCAGCAAGGCGCACAAGGCTAGTGGGGCTCGATGGGGCCAGCGGGGCGCGAACGGGGCCAGCGGGGCGCGAACGGGGCCAGCGGGGCGTACGGGGCCAGCGGGGCGCACGGGGCTAGCGGGGCTCGACGGGGCCAGCTGGGCGTACGGGGCCAGCGGTGCGCACGGGGCTAGCGGGGCTCGACGGGGCCAGCGGGACGCGAACGGGGACTGCGGGGCGTACGGGGCCAGCGGGGCGCACAGGGCTAGCGAGACTCGACAGGGCCAGCAGGGCGCGAGCGGGGCCAGCGGGGTGTACGGGGCTAGCGGGGCGCTAAGGGGCCAGCGGGGCGCCAAGGGGCCAGCGGGGCGCCAAGGGGCCAGCGGGGCGCCAAGGGGCCAGCAAGGCGCTAAGGGGCCAGCGGGGCGCTAGGGGCTAGGGCGGAAGTGGGTGGGCGGACCTATCCCAATCTGGTACCATCTTAGCGTAGAACGAATTGACTAGAATGAGGTGGTACAAGGAGAGATAACCTAAGGGGTTGTACTCTATATAAGCATGCACCTAGCTAGCCTATAACATATACAAATTATATGTTGACAGTGCCCTCTTCACTCCACACCACACACCACCTCCCCCATCCATCACAAAGATGTCAGTGAGCTGGTAGCCTGGTAAGCTGGGAAGGGCACTGGCTGCCACACCACTGCCTTGAGTGTTGCCACATCCTCAGCAGCACTATGTACATGAGGGCCAGCAGGAGCCCAAGGAAGACAAGCAGATGAATGAATGACGCCTCGGGAGCACAAGTGCACCACCCACTCCACCATGCATTGCGTGTGCTCAGCACAGCTCCCTACGTCAGAACCAGCACGAGTGCAAGGCAGATGGGCACAAGAAGCAATGTCGAGAAAGTTACAGCAGCTGAGTGGCCGGACTTGGGCACTTCAGTACAGTTACCGGTCATAATGTAGCCAGGGCGGGGGGGAGCACAGCCAGAAGGGGGGCCAGACCTTGGCACTTCCGTGCAGTTAGGAGTCATCATGTATCCAGGGCGGGGGGTGACACAGTCAATGAACAATCTGTTCTCCCCCTTGCCACTCCACTGACCACCTCCCGCACCCCCATCCATCACAAAAAGGTCAGTCAGCTGGTAGGCAGTGAAGGGCACCGGCTGCCACACCACCGCCTTGAGTGTCGCCACTTCCGCTGCTGCTGTTGCTGCCCTCACTGCTACCTTGCTTCCTGCTATCGGCTCCTCTACTGCTGCCTTGCCTCCTGTTGCAGGCTCCTCTACTGCTCCTGTTACAGGCACCTTGAACGCTTGAAAGGGTCTAATCACTCCTGCTGTTACAGTCAGACTGTAGCTGATCCCTGCCCCATCCACCACATTCGCCCTCGCTGCAATCACATCCACTAGAGTCACAAACATCGAGAAGCTTTTCTGTGCGTTGACCTGCTGCAGGGCAAAGAGAGCAACCGAGTGGATGCTTGAGTCGTTGGCAGCAGCAGGGACGAGCACCCACCCCTCGTCCACACACACCCCTGCCAGGGCTCTTGGCGAGATATACTCTATGTCCCATCCGCCTGTGGCGTTGCTCCTCGTGGTGCTGTTGAGAGTGCTGCCACCACCACCGGTGCTGTTGAGAGTGCTGCCACCACCACCAGTGCTGTTGAGAGTGCTGCCACCGCCACCAGTACTGTTGCGAGTGCTGCCACCACCACTAGTGCTGTTGCTGCCGCTGCTGCCACCACCACCAGTGCTGTTGAGAGTGCTGCCACCACCACTAGTGCTGTTGCTGCCGCTGCTGCCACCACCACCAGTGCTGTTGAGAATGCTGCCACCACCACCAGTGCTGTTGAGACTGCTGCCACCACTGTTGCTGTTGCTGAAACTTCTGCTGTTGCCAACACCAGCACTGTAGTTTCCTGGAGTACTGCTGCTGCTGCTGCTGCTGCTGTTGTTGCTGCTGCTGCTGCTGCTGCTGTTATTGCTGCTGCTGCTGCTGCTGCTCCCGTTCGTTACGCCACACCCCCCGGCTGCAGCCACTTGTATCTCTGCCACTGTTGCATTCAGCTGCGTCCCCTGCACCACTGTAAAGGACGTGACATTAGCGAAGCCTGTCCCCGGTGTCTCCAATACATGCACAGCATACTGGGCTGTCTCGTTGAATGCCTGGTCTGCTGCTAGAAGCGTGAGGTTGTACTCTGCATCACTTGGGATGAGCTTCTGAGCCTCCAGCACAGAGAGCAAGAGCAGACTGGTGCCCTGTGAGGGGGATGGAGAGGGGGGAGGAAGAAGGGGGCGGAAGAGGGGGGAGGAAGGGGGGGGAGGAAGAGGGCGAGGGAGGTAGAGTGAACAAGCGATCAGGTGCAAACGAGAGACTTGAGAGGGTGGAAGGGGCACAGGGTGAAGGGTTGACGCTCAGGATGAGCTTCTGTTCGTCCTGTACACTGGGAGGCACAGAGGTCAAAAGCAGGCTGGTGTTCTGGGAGGAGGGGTGGTGATGGTACAGGCAGAGAGAAAACGTGACGGCTTGAGGTTGTACACTGTGTCACCAGGGATGAGCACATGTGCCTCGAGTCTAGAGATTAGGCGCAGATAGGTGCCCTGTGAGGGGGGGGGGGGGGGCACAACAAGGGGAGAAGCTTGAAGGCTTGACGCTGGGGATGAGCTTGTGTGCATCGAGTACAGAGATCAAAAGCAGGCTGGTGCACGGAGGGCAGGCACGCTGGGAGGGGGGGTGGCGATGGTACAGGCAGAGAGAAAAGGTGACGGCTTGAGGGTTGCACTCTGTGTCACTCGGGATGACCTTCTGTGCATCGAGTACAGAGATCAAAAGCAGGCTGGTTCACGGAGGGCAGGCACGCTGGGAGGGGGGGTGGCGATGGTACAGGCAGAGGGAAAAGGTGACGGCTTGAGGGTTGCACTCTGTGTCACTCGGGATGACCTTCTGTGCATCGAGTACAGAGATCAAAATCAGGCTTGTTCACGGAGGGCAGGCACGCTGGGAGGGGGGGTGGCGATGGTACAGGCAGAGGGAAAACGTGACGGCTTGAGGGTTGCACTCTGTGTCACTCGGGATGACCTTCTGTGCATCGAGTACAGAGGTCAAAAGCAGGCTGGTGCACGGAGGGCAGGCACGCTGGGAGGGGGGGTGGCAATGGTACAGGCAGAGAGAAAAGGTGACGGCTTGAGGGTTGCACTCTGTGTCACTCGGGATGACCTTCTGTGCATCGAGTACAGAGATCAAAAGCAGGCTGGTTCACGGAGGGCAGGCACGCTGGGAGGGGGGGTGGCGATGGTACAGGCAGAGGGAAAACGTGACGGCTTGAGGGTTGCACTCTGTGTCACTCGGGATGACCTTCTGTGCATCGAGTACAGAGATCAAAAGCAGGCTTGTTCACGGAGGGCAGGCACGCTGGGAGGGGGGGTGGCGATGGTACAGGCAGAGGGAGAAGGTGACGGCTTGAGGGTTGCACTCTGTGTCACTCGGGATGACCTTCTGTGCATCGAGTACAGAGATCAAAAGCAGGCTGGTGCACGGAGGGCAGGCACGCTGGGAGGGGGGGTGGCGATGGTACAGGCAGAGAGAAAAGGTGACGGCTTGAGGGTTGCACTCTGTGTCACTCGGGAGACCTTCTGTGCATCGAGTACAGAGATCAAAAGCAGGCTGGTTCACGGAGGGCAGGCACGCTGGGAGGGGGGGTGGCGATGGTACAGGCAGAGGGAGAAGGTGACGGCTTGAGGGTTGCACTCTGTGTCACTCGGGATGACCTTCTGTGCATCGAGTACAGAGATCAAAAGCAGGCTGGTGCACGGAGGGCAGGCACGCTGGGAGGGGGGGTGGCGATGGTACAGGCAGAGAGAAAAGGTGACGGCTTGAGGGTTGCACTCTGTGTCACTCGGGATGACCTTCTGTGCATCGAGTACAGAGACCAAAAGCAGGCTGGTTCACGGAGGGCAGGCACGCTGGGAGGGGGGGTGGCGATGGTACAGGCAGAGGGAAAAGGTGACGGCTTGAGGGTTGCACTCTGTGTCACTCGGGATGACCTTCTGTGCATCGAGTACAGAGATCAAAAGCAGGCTGGTTCACGGAGGGCAGGCACGCTGGGAGGGGGGGTGGCGATGGTACAGGCAGAGGGAAAACGTGACGGCTTGAGGGTTGCACTCTGTGTCACTCGGGATGACCTTCTGTGCATCGAGTACAGAGGTCAAAAGCAGGCTGGTGCACGGAGGGCAGGCACGCTGGGAGGGGGGTGCGATGGTACAGGCAGAGGGAAAAGGTGACGGCTTGAGGGTTGCACTCTGTGTCACTCAGGATGACCTTCTGTGCATCGAGTACAGAGATCAAAAGCAGGCTGGTTCACGGAGGGCAGGCACGCTGGGAGGGGGGGTGGCGATGGTACAGGGAGAGGGAAAAGGTGACGGCTTGAGGGTTGCACTCTGTGTCACTCGGGATGACCTTCTGTGCATCGAGTACAGAGATCAAAAGCAGGCTTGTTCACGGAGGGCAGGCACGCTGGGAGGGGGGTTGGCGATGGTACAGGCAGAGGGAGATGGTGACGGCTTGAGGGTTGCACTCTGTGTCACTCGGGATGACCTTCTGTGCATCGAGTACAGAGATCAAAAGCAGGCTGGTGCACGGAGGGCAGGCACGCTGGGAGGGGGGGTGGGGATGGTACAGGCAGAGAGAAAAGGTGACGGCTTGAGGGTTGCACTCTGTGTCACTCGGGATGACCTTCTGTGCATCGAGTACAGAGATCAAAAGCAGGCTGGTTCACGGAGGGCAGGCACGCTGGGAGGGGGGGTGGCGATGGTACAGGCAGAGAGAAAAGGTGATGGCTTGAGGGTTGCACTCTGTGTCACTCGGGATGACCTTCTGTGCATCGAGTACAGAGATCAAAAGCAGGCTTGTTCACGGAGGGCAGGCACGTTGGGAAGGGGGTTGGCGATGGTACAGGCAGAGGGAGAAGGTGACGGCTTGAGGGTTGCACTCTGTGTCACTCGGGATGACCTTCTGTGCGTCGAGTACAGAGATCAAAAGCAGGCTAGTGCACGGAGGGCAGGCACGCTGGGAGGGGGGGTGGCGATGGTACAGGCAGAGAGAAAAGGTGACGGCTTGAGGGTTGCACTCTGTGTCACTCGGGATGACCTTCTGTGCATCGAGTACAGAGATCAAAAGCAGGCTGGTTCACGGAGGGCAGGCACGCTGGGAGGGGGGGTGGCGATGGTACAGGCAGAGGGAAAACGTGACGGCTTGAGGGTTGCACTCTGTGTCACTCGGGATGTCCTTCTGTGCATCGAGTACAGAGATCAAAAGCAGGCTGGTTCACGGAGGGCAGGCACGCTGGGAGGGGGGGTGGCGATGGTACAGGCAGAGAGAAAAGGTGACGGCTTGAGGGTTGCACTCTGTGTCACTCGGGATGACCTTCTGTGCATCGAGTACAGAGATCAAAAGCAGGCTGGTTCACGGAGGGCAGGCACGCTGGGAGGGGAGGTGGCGATGGTACAGGCAGAGGGAGAAGGTGACGGCTTGAGGGTTGCACTCTGTGTCACTCGGGATGACCTTCTGTGCATCGAGTACAGAGATCAAAAGCAGGCTGGTGCACGGAGGGCAGGCACGCTGGGAGGGGGGGTGGCGATGGTACAGGCAGAGAGAAAAGGTGACGGCTTGAGGGTTGCACTCTGTGTCACTCGGGATGACCTTCTGTGCATCGAGTACAGAGACCAAAAGCAGGCTGGTTCACGGAGGGCAGGCACGCTGGGAGGGGGGGTGGCGATGGTACAGGCAGAGGGAAAAGGTGACGGCTTGAGGGTTGCACTCTGTGTCACTCGGGATGACCTTCTGTGCATCGAGTACAGAGATCAAAAGCAGGCTGGTTCACGGAGGGCAGGCACGCTGGGAGGGGGGGTGGCGATGGTACAGGCAGAGGGAAAACGTGACGGCTTGAGGGTTGCACTCTGTGTCACTCGGGATGACCTTCTGTGCATCGAGTACAGAGACCAAAAGCAGGCTGGTTCACGGAGGGCAGGCACGCTGGGAGGGGGGGTGGCGATGGTACAGGCAGAGGGAAAAGGTGACGGCTTGAGGGTTGCACTCTGTGTCACTCGGGATGACCTTCTGTGCATCGAGTACATAGATCAAAAGCAGGCTGGTGCACGGAGGGCAGGCACGCTGGGAGGGGGGGTGGCGATGGTACAGGCAGAGAGAAAAGGTGACAGCTTGAGGGTTGCACTCTGTGTCACTCGGGATGACCTTCTGTGCATCGAGTACAGAGATCAAAAGCAGGCTGGTTCACGGAGGGCAGGCACGCTGGGAGGGGGGGTGGCGATGGTACAGGCAGAGGGAAAACGTGACGGCTTGAGGGTTGCACTCTGTGTCACTCGGGATGACCTTCTGTGCATCGAGTACAGAGATCAAAAGCAGGCTGGTTCACGGAGGGCAGGCATGCTGGGAGGGGGGGTGGCGATGGTACAGGCAGAGAGAAAAGGTGACGGCTTGAGGGTTGCACTCTGTGTCACTCGGGATGACCTTCTGTGCATCAAGTACAGAGATCAAAAGCAGGCTGGTTCACGGAGGGCAGGCACGCTGGGAGGGGGGGTGGCGATGGTACAGGCAGAGGGAGAAGGTGACGGCTTGAGGGTTGCACTCTGTGTCACTCGGGATGACCTTCTGTGCATCGAGTACAGAGATCAAAAGCAGGCTGGTTCACGGAGGGCAGGCACGCTGGGAGGGGGGGTGGCGATGGTACAGGCAGAGAGAAAAGGTGACGGCTTGAGGGTTGCACTCTGTGTCACTCGGGATGACCTTCTGTGCATCGAGTCTAGAGATGGGCGCCTTATGAGGGGGGGAGGAGGGCACAAGCGGGAAGAAGAGGAGGGCACAAGAGGGAAGAAGAGGAGGGCACAAGAGGGAAGAAGAGGAGGGCACAAGAGGGAAGAGGAGGGCACAAGAGGGAAGAGGAGGGCACAAGAGGGCACAAGAGGGAAGAAACATGAAGGCGAGAGGCGAGAGCCGAGGACAATTTAGGCGCAGCTTAGTGCCCTGTGAGGGGGGGAAAGCACAGGGTGAAAGCTTGACGGTTGAATTCCTTATCACTCAGGATGATCTTCTGTGCCTCGACCACAGAGGTCAAGAACAGTCTGGAGAGCGGAGGGTGGGAGAGAGGGGGAAGAACAGGTGGAGTCTAAACACGTGGGAGTAGACGCCAATACTTTCTGTTAGTAAGTGCCTCGAGCACAGAGATCAACAACAGGTGGGTGCCCAGTGAAGAGGGGGGAGAGGGAGAGGGCAGGAGAGGGAGGGTAGGGAAGTGATGGGTGAAGAGTCAACAGCCCAAGTCACAGGCCGCATGACCATCAGCGCACCAACACACCCACTCACATGTTGCTCATTCTCTCCCACCGCCGTGCCTCGTGCCACGCGCTGCACGCCCTCTCCTCTCGGGTCAACGTGGTCAGCATTTCTTCACACGGCACCGGCTACAGCAGCACCACCTGCCTCAGAAAAACCTCCCCTTCCTCTTTTGTGCTCACATTCTGGCGCTCACCTTCTTCTCGTTCTCTGACTCCACCGCCCCTCGCGCCACTCGCTGCACGCCCTCTCCCCACGGATCTACGAAGGTCCAGAACTCCCCGCATATGACCGGTTGCAGCAGCACAACCCGCCTCAGAACCGCCTCCATTTCCTCCCTTGTGCTATTGTGCTGCGACCCCGCTTGCATAGAGAAGGTCAAATTGTACTCTTCTCCTGCTGCTGCTGTTGCTGCTGCTGCTGCTCCTCCTGCTGCAGCTGCTGCTGCTGCTGCCGTTGTGGCTGCTGCTGCTGGAAGTGCAGCAGCCCTGTCTGCTTCCTGTGCTGCTACCGCGGGTCGTACAGACAGGCGGGCGTCGTAGGAGGCAGTGAGGCCGGTGAGGAGGTTGAGGGCGGAGAGTTTGAGGAAGAAGCCTGTAAATCCCTGTGCGATCTCGTCGCCGGTGCGCGTCGCATACAAGATTTGCACTGGCTGTAGGCTATCGTTCTGCCATGGGGTGAAGGAGAGAAGGGAGAATGGGAGAAAGGAGGGGAATGCCGGTGAGGAGGTTGAGGGCGGAGAGCGAGAGGAAGAAGCCTGTGAATCCCTGTGCGATCTCGTCGCCTGTGCGTGTCGCGGGAAGGGCTCGCACGGGCTGTAGGCAGTCGTTCTGCCTAGGGGAGAAGGGGAGAGGGGGAGAGGCGGAAATGGAGGAAAAAGGGGGAAGTTCCTGCTTGGGAGCTGACAGCGAGAGGTGAAACTCCTTGGCTCTCGTTGTCTGGGTGCTGGCTGTCATTGTGGCATCAGAATAAAGGCGAAAGGCAAAGGGGAAATGGGCGAGAGGAGAGGAGGCAGTGAAGCACTGAGGCCGTTGAGGCGGTTGAGAGTGGTTGAGAGCGGCCAGCGCGAGTTGGTAGTCGGACATGGAATTCAGGGAACATGTTGCCAGTGGGGTATGGGGTGTTGCTCTGGCAGCGCCAGGGCGAAAGGGAAGTGGGCAGAAGAAGTGGGAAGGAGGATGAGGGGAAGTCGGGAGCAAACGGCAAACTCTGGCTGGGGCTCGTTGCATGCTCTTCAGGTCGTCGCCTGCAGTCCGGATTGTCCAAGAAGGGGGGCTTGTTCAACATTTGAAGCGGTGTAGCCAACTTGTTACCAGGGCCGCAGAGGTTGGCGAACTTTTTTGGGGGTTCGCTATCCAACCAATTTTTTTCCCCCTTTCAACTGCTGAACGTTTGGGCAATCCGGACTTCGGGCTTTAACTTGCGCCTCCCTTATCTTGCGCCTCCCTTATCTTGCGCCTCCCTTAACTTGACTCTGCCTTTGACTAGCCTCTATGGACGAAATTACTCAGCTCCGCCCAAATCTTGATTTCAAGAGTAATATCCTAAAACGGGCGAATTTCACCTCACCTTGGGTTGGTTGTGTTGGTCCACCGCGAGTCGAGCCATGACCGCTCTCTCCTCGTCGCTGTGCGCGTGATCATGAGTTTGTATCTTGGAATCACCACACCTCTTGGCCTCTCGTCTCTTGGAATCACCACGCCTCTTGGCCTCACGTCTCTTGGAAGCACCACGCCTCTTGGCCTCACGTATCTTGGAAGAACCACGCCTCTTGGCCTCACGTCTCTTGGAAGGACCACGCCTCTTGGCCTCACGTCTCTTGGAAGCACCACGCCTCATCTTTGCCTGGTTGTGGTGCTTTAACTCATCGCTCAGAATCTCAAAGTCCCAAACAGCGAGTGACCAAGAGTGCACCTCTTGATTGAATGAAGATAACAGCACCACGCCTCACCTTCGCCTGGTTGTGTGCTGCTCCACGGCGAATTGACAGCTTGAGTTCAAGAATGACACACTTGAAACTGGAAATGCCTGCCTCACCTTTTCCTTGTTGTGCTGCTGCACGGCGAGTCGCGCCATGGCCGTTTGTTCCTCGTCGCTCATCCACTCGAAGAGCGGGCTTGGAGGAGCCGCTGCCGTGGCGCGCAACAGAGCTTGGGGAGGGCCACATGATGCATGACACGTCGATGCCACGTGGCAGAGGATAAGGGGGCATAGTGCAATGGCCAGGCGGCTCTGCGGCCGCATGTCAACGCGACGGCTCATGGTCACGAGCGTGTATTCTCGAGTATCTTTACAGCGCGTACAGGTAGCAAGCCCTCAGGACGCGTGATTGACCGAAAACGGCTTCTACGATAGGCGACTTTAATTACCACTCGCGTTTGGCTTCGCAAACAGGAATCCCCGACTTCGCCCAAGAATGCTACGAGGTTTTGGATTGAGAAATATATGGGACGCTGGGTAGTAGTAAGCACATCTCGGAACTCCGGGTCCAAAACAACACTGGCTGTAAATAGAGGGAATGCTGCTGTGGCAGTCGCAGTGCTGGGATGGGAAGCCATAGCGGTTCAAGCGTCTCGTCGAGTCAGCTAAGAACGATAAAGCGAGGATAGAAGCGGGTGAAGAGGGCGACGAGGGGCGAAGCGAATAGACCATGGCGAAAGGCTGTTTGCGCGAAACCCGGCAGTAAGAAGTTGGAGAAACGTGGAGAAACTGGAAGACAGGTGTGCACCAGGGGCTCGGTAGAAGCAGTTTCGGTTGTGCTTTGTACGACAGCGAACGAAAAGAACTCGTGACAAGCAGCTTCGCAAATCACCGTCGCGAGTCGCTGTAACACCCGCTGGGTTCGAGACTCACCAATTCACATTGCCACCACTCTGTACCAAGCTTTAAAGCGAGGGTCTCAAGAAGCAAAAAAACAACCCCAAAGGTTTTGGTTTCGAGGGGTCGCGAAATTTGCGAGGTGTGGTGAGGGGTGTTAGGGGGTCGCTGTTACTGTTTCACTCATTTCGCCAACCCGAAACCAAAACCTTTGGATTTGGTTTCGCGCTTCTTGAGATCCACGGTACACATTCAACGCGGCTTGAGGTGGCAATGTGGAGGTCAAGAAAAGGGGACGTATATGGGTTGGGTTCTACAGGCACTTGATGTCGACGTCGACGTCGACATTGAGGAAGCTCCTCAAGCGGTTTCGCGAGCAATGGTTACCAGCCAAGCTTGCGCACTTTACCGAGCCTCCCTCGGAAACCACGCGAGCAAATTGAGGAATCCGTTGGCGAAATTGAGGTGAGAACAAATTTCATATTTCTGCAACAGATACCCAATGCCCAAGGGTCTATGAGCAGGGGTGACTTTATCATACTATTGACTCTGATTAGTCTGAAATCTCAGACCGGTGTAATGTGCAAACCTGAATTTCCAGATAACCCATTTCCCCAGTCCTGACTGATTCAGAGTAAGTTTTTGGGAATCCTGAACAATTTAGACCGGACGCTAAGCCAGTAATGAGTTTCCAGAGTGCAACGCGTACGGACCCTGAAACCGACATCCCTGGGGTCCGCAGGTTCCCCCGAAATTTCGCCCGCTATCAGTGCTTCCCGCCCGCGTCACGTGCAGAATCCACACTCCGCAGGAAATCCCACCAAGTCCAACGTGTACTCTGCCCACAATGGGCACTTTCCCACGCAGCGCGGCATAATGCTGCCACGCCAAACCTCAGAGGACCGCAGATTCTGCTCTGACGCTCTCTGTGCATGCGTGAAACTCGGGCCCCAAACCCTATCTGCCAGCCTTCCATAGGTTTGGCAACTACCCGATTGGCTGCAAATGCAGCCAACACGTCGATGGCTGCATGGTGTTGGGTTGTGCAAGGACAAGCCCGAAGACCGCGTAGCGCCTTTCAAGAAAGGTGCGACACGGGTTTGATGTCTCCCTTCTTCTCCCATCGTTCCATATTCATATGTCTGAAATGCACTGCTTCATGTTTTATAGGAGGAGTCCTTCCATCTCCTCATTCTCTGTCTCACACGCGTAGCTATAGTCGCATCGTTTAGTTTCCCCCCGTTGTTTCACCTCTCGCCATGCCTGACACGGGTGGCGCCGACAATGCTCTTGCTGATTGTGATGAGCCGTACAGTCGGAAGGAGCCTGCCGTAGCGCCAAGGAGAGGCTTAGATTTCTTGCGGCCCGTCGCCGCACCTGTTCCTCCCCCATCGGTCGCCCCAACCGCAGTCGACGAACCACCGCGCGTCGAGCCACCGTTGCCATGTAGTCCTACCTCCGTTCCCTACGTTCTCCCACCAGCTGTAGCATCTTCTAGCAGAGGGCCTGTAAAAGATCCTGTCGATTGCGCCACCGCATCAACCATTCCGTAAAGCGTTCCGTGCGCGTCTACTGTGTCTTCGGCGAAGAAACGGCGCACAACGAAGTACACGCAACAGCGGATTAACCTTGGTGGCCAGATTCGCCCCCCTTCACCACCACGCTCACCTCCCCCTATCATCCGCCCTGATGAACCACCGCCACCGAAGTTAAGTACAAAGGAGATAATCGAGCAGAAGTACCTGATCGCTGAAGCTAAGTACAAGAATGACTGGCTTCGCTACTTCCTGTGGCTGATACCCCGTACTAAGGATGGGTACCCCGCCCTTAAGTGCAGTGTTTGCCAAGCTTTCGAGAAGGAGACAACGAAGTACTCGAGCCTACGCGAAGGCGGGCGAGATCTCCAGACCCAGACAATGCGCATCCACGAACACTCTACGGTCCATGAAGACGCGGTTCGCCCACGGGTTTGTGGTACTATTGTGCACAGCTTCGTTCTCGGGATTTGTGTCCGTGCGCTAACCAACATCCTTGTGTATACCTACAGGGAAGCCCTAGCTGTGAAGGATGCTGCCGCCTCATGTCCAGACCTCGACATGGTTGATAAGGTTACTCGCACCCTTGTGGACCTTCTCGGTCGGTCGACCGTCTGGAGCGGACGCTTCAAGTACCTCCAGCGCGCGATTCACAGCACGAACTTGGAGGTGGCATCCATCAAGTTCGATGGTTGTCTAGGGGTGAGGCCATCTAACGCCTGTGTAAGGTGTTGGGTGCTGCGATTGTGCTGCTGTATGAGTATGAGCATCCCCTATATGAAGTTGTGACCTCGTATAAGTTTCAGTTCTGCCTCTTCTACCTGGCCGGCATGCTCGCGGTCATGAACGACCTCAACCTCAAGTTCCAGAAACGTGAGGTGAGCCTTTCAAGGCTGCGATGGTGGTGTTCTCCTCCTCTATTTGTATTAATATCTCATCTGGTTCTCTATCACCGTGTGTCCAACCCCAAACCGCAAGTCGACGTGACCGAGGTGTCAACGGACATCGACCAGACACTGGGAAATCTGCGGCACCGTTATGTCGCGTGTGGGGAGGTTTTCGGTGCCAGCGCCAAAAACACTTGGCTGTCGGCGTTCCTAACAGTGTACGTGCACGGGGGGTCGAAGCGTGTGAAGGTGCCCGGCATCGACAAGCAGGGGAACCCGGTCACCCACACGTACAAGATGCACGAGCGGCATCTCGACAAGCACCAGTACGGGAGCAGCTACTCGGAGTGAGCCCTGCTGTGCCAGAAACATGCGAAGGAGACCATGAGCAACGTACAACATCGTATGCACGATCTGCGGAAGATGTCACCGACGAAGCTGTGGGTGGCGGCGAAGTGGCCGAGAGAGTATCTGCTCGGTTGCAGTGGCATCTTCGACCACAGGCTGCCCGGATTTGACCTGAAGGCTGTGGAGATGGAGTTGGCGACGTGGGCGCCGATCATGCAGAACCATCACGAGGTGGAGGGCTTCCATCGAGGCTTGGCAAACTACCTCACGAAGACAAACTCGAGCAAGTAAGTCCATGGTTCTCGTGTTTACGCTTCACTGCCTTCCGCTCTACTTGTGTTTGCTGAGCTATGCTGCCTTCCACTCCAGTTGTGATTCTGAGCTTTGCTCCCTTTGTTGATCACCTTGTAAACCCTGTACGTAATCTGCCTAAACACATCGCAATCCCTTTTGTGCCTTTCGTGCGCCGATGTTTTCATCCCGTGACAGGCGCTGGCCGAATCTGATGCGCCTATGATAGGCTTGCACCGTGCTGCCTCTGTCAACGGTCGAGTGCGAGAGGGGCTTCTCTAGGAAGAACGTTATTAAGTCCTAGGTCCGTGGCACCCTTTGCAACGCGTGCCTGTCCGAGCTCATGGCCATCTCGCTTTTGCAGTATGACATCGATTGGAGTAAAGCCCTCACGACGTGGCGTCTGAAGCTGAGACGCCCTGCACGAACTGTTGTCTTCGCATCTGTGGAACGCAAGCGCAAGGGGAAAGAGCTGGAGGTTGAGGGGGAGGCGGCCGAGACGACTGGGGAAGAAAAGGAGGAGGGGGAGGTGCCAGAGTATGAGGGGGAGGGGTGGGCTGAGGAGGACGGGGGTGGTGATGATGCAGAGGATGATGCTCCAAGGATGGTCGACAATCCATTCCTGTTCGACGATGAGGGAGCTGATGATGATATTGCCGTAGATGCGCCAGAATTCTAGGTGGCTCTTAGTGAGTGGTTCCTTGGTTTTTTTGTAGTAGTAGAAGTAGTTTAGGCTCATGCCAAGAGTAGCACAATGTTCGTTTACATGAGGTTAGTAGAGAACATGAGACTCTGGTTGTAATTTCCGGACCCTGAGAAAATAGACTAGTTACTTTGTGGACTCTGTCATTTCAAAGTGCCAAAATTTTGGCTGAAGGCCCTTCAGAGTATTTTTTTTTTTTCTAGGAGGTTGGCTCAGAGTGCTTTTTTTTGAAACGTCAGCCCTGTATATGAGTATCATTAGGAGGTAATAACAGGGCGAAATAATGACTAGGGTTTGGCGAGATGCATCCACAATCCCCAGCACAATGTATTTGTGCTCCTGTTGTTTCTGCGCTGTATACTGTAATCGTGGGTTGGACCGATTGATTTTTTTTGCTAGGCCAAGGCAAATTTGGCAGGGTGGGGTCAGGCTGACGCATTTTTTTTGGGTGTGGAGGCCTAGTACACCCTTGAGGCTAATGTAAAGTTGAACGCAAGGTGGACTCCGTGATTGAGCAAACGTCAGCATTGCGTCAAGTTTGCGTCAGATTTGCCAGGGAGGGAAGCGATCGGGGTGTTTCCCTGACATAGATGTCATCTGTAGATGGACGTGTTATGCAGGCATGTCGATGTAACTAGGTTCGGGTATGTTGTGCCAGGTTTGGGGGAAATTTTGCGGGCTGACCCTCGATCCGAAACAAAATTTCGCGTTTTCTGAAGGTGCTCTGATGTAATATGCACTTTCCTTTTTGCCTGCAGAATGCAGCCATGATTGGAGGGCGAGACACGAGAGGAGAAAACTGACGCGAAATGGGGGGGACCTTCGTTTAGGGGAGAAAACTGATGCGAAATGTTAGCTGAAAAACTTCAGTTGACTTGACCTTGAGTATGGCCTTCGTTGCGTAGTTTGACCAAATGTTCTTTGTATGAACACGAAAAATAGGTCGTTGTATCCACGCTGACGAGACAAGGAAGAATCTTTGGGCAGATGTCGAAACTGATATCGTTTGAGCTGACATTGTTCGAGTTGAAGTTCCTGACTGCAACCATGGCTGACTTGAGTTCATCGCAATGCCTTCTCAAAATTCATAGTTCGCGAAGGGCGTTCCTATTAGAGCATGGCGAACATTATTTGTGGTA